AGCTTTGCATTTCTTGAAATATAATCTTTAGCACCAGAAAATATTTCTGAAAAAAAGTAATCTGGAGGTTCTCCATTGCTTTGCAATTCAAATTTATAACCCGCATAGCATTTCTTGTTATTTCGCATCAAATCAAATAAAAGTTTTTCATATTCCAATGTAACTATTTTAATTCCACGATCACGGTTAAATACGTTGAATGCATCACATACTTTTTTACCAAATATACTTCCCTCTTTGGTAAGCTCATCGTACATTTTGAATATAAGTTCTTCATATTCCTTTACCAAACCATTATTTAACTCGATATATTTTAAATGACCGTAGTACTTTTCAAGTATACAATGTAAGATATGCTTTGGTAATCGTGCTAGGCAAGAATCTGTGTCTCTATAGATTACCTCACTGGTTTTGTCACAAATCACGTTCTGGTCATCTCTATATTCCCCGGTGTGATACGATTCTATAAATTTTTTTAAAGTTTTTATCATTTCCTGAGCAACAAAGGTCACACACTGTGATATCACTGGTACAGCAATACCGAGATATGGTGAATCTAGACCTCTGTATAATGCATTTGCCGATGCTTTATACGCAAGTTGCTTTTGATCTAGTATATTATACATCACATCATTAATCCCAATATACTTGTCACACTCTTTCTTGGCTTCTTTTCTCTTTTTTATCAGATCCGTGAGAATGTTTTGTATGATGCTTTCTTGGGTATCCTCATGGATAAAGTATATATCCTGATTTGTTCCCACGTTATTGTCTATGAGATATACCACTTGATATTTCTCATTAGGCTTTTCATACCTAAACGTATCGGGTCCCATGTTGTATTCACGCATTATCAACAGGTACAAACTTGCAAAATCAAGTACATAAATAGGATCCATGTAATACCCGGTCTCTGGGTCGATTACCTCCGTACCTTGAAATTTCTTCTTATCTTTGATACTATACGATACCGGCTTGTTATTATGTTCCTTATTATACTCCTTAACTATAAGACAATTCAATATGCTTGTTTTACCATCACGGAATGGTTATGCATATTCACAGTTATAAATCATCACATCTAATCGGTATGAAACCAGTTTTTGCATCTTAATTATGCTCAATAGGACTGCTCATGAATCATAGAAGCAATATTCAAGGATGTCTGTACAAAGTTTTTCAACCCTCTCTTCTTCATATAAATCATTGATAACTTTATCTTGTCTCGAATTGAGTTCTTCGATCTTGTTATGGTAATCCATCGAATCAACATTTAATTTTGTTATTTCATCTTGAATCTTGGCTATTTCAATAACAAGCAGTACAATCTCATCTATATATCTGTAACTCAACCTGATCTTGAAAGGGATCTCTAGAGTATCAAGCATGTAATTTAAATTACTCTAACACCCAAAGAACTCGCGTTGAAATATTGTCATTGAGTCCCAGAACAGTGTTCCGTCAAACTTGATATAAGTATATTCTATCGCA